TTGTCAAGTCCGGAGAAGAGGGGCTGCAAGGAGACATAACAACAGCCTTCTGATATTTAAAGGGAGATTATAAACAGGAGGGAAATCAACTTTTTGCATGGTTAGATAACAAAGGGGAATGGTTCAAAACTAAAGGAAGAAAGATTGACATCAGATGTGAGGGGTGTTTTTCACTGAGAGTGATGAGATGCTGGAACAGGTTGCCAAGAGAGGTTGTGGATGCCCCATCCCTGGGCTTGTTCAAGGCCAGGTTGGATGGGGCCCTGGGCAACTTGGTCTAGTAGTTGATCTAGTGATTGGTAACCCTGCCTGCAGCAGGGGGGGTGGAGTTTGATGATCCTTGAGGTTTCTTCCAACCCAAGCTATTCTAGGATTCTATGATTTCCCCAACTCCCCTCGCAGTTGTTGATCTATTGCAAATGGCAGTGGGCAGCTTCCACAGCTCCAGAATTGAATTAATCTCTATGTTACTATGTTATTATTATTATGCTTCCTTTTATACATGCATGAGAAATAAAAGCAAGGTTATTATTTGCATTCTTTAGCAAAAGAACAAGTCATAAGTCATCTTACAAAACAGCCCACAAAGGAGGATTTTGGGAAGAGGAAAGGAATCTATTTGTCAGGAACTGAAAGTAAGACATGCCAAGAATGAGGATATCTAGCCTCAGTCTCTTTAAAACCAAAACAAACCAGATTTTAGGGTTTTTATTTATTTGTTTGGTTTTTTCATCATACAGTGATTTTATCTTTAAGACTAATGAATGTAGGTAATGCATTCAGTTTTACCATCAGATACGCCCATCTAACACGTTTTCCTTCAGCATGGGACTGGATGCTTGTTTCATTTCCAGTCCTAACCCTAGAAACACACTTCTCTCTGGAACTTGTACTGCTTAGAATTTTATTCAGAGGAAAGTTTAGATTTAGCTTCCACCATCTATTTTATTTTTAAATCTAAATCCATGCTACAATTCAAATCCCTTCAGTTCATGCTGAATTGGCACATTTGCTTGTTTCCTATGTACATTTTATTCTTACAATTTACCATCCCCAAAATGAAAACAACTTTTAAATTGCCTTGTACTGAAATTCTTAGGGGGGCACCTTTCATCTTCCATAATAATAAAAGTAAAGCACGGAAAGACTGAGTATAAAAAGATGGATTCAGAGCTCAATTTTCTCAGTCATTTGCTTGAGATTGAGGCAGTAACGGAAGCGTGCTACGGATGCTGGTTAGTTAAACGATGACAGGCCATCAGAGACCGCAGGAGAGCACATCCCTTTGATGGCTATGACAACCCAGCGAAGATGCCCTGGGAGTTGGTGGGCTTTGCTCTGATTGTATTACGCATCCCCTGCACGTTCGCTTCTTTTCCACAGCAAGAGCTGACAGGACCCAGCTCCTCTTCCCACCACTCTTTCATTCTTGATATTTAATACATTGATGGATACATTCCTCTTCTTATGCAAAGTTTTTGGAAAACCAACAATTAACATTGGTTAATAAACATTCAGCGTGGACTTTTCCCTTCAAGACTTTGAGATATTTATTTCAAAACTGCAAATACTGATCAAAATCATTTCTACTTTGAAGTCCAAAAACACCTGAATCACTGAAAGTAACAACTCCTCAGTCTCAAGAAACAAGAGTTCATGGCCAACATAAGTGCAGGGAACAAAAGAAACTGGTAATAATGAGATACCACTTAAGTGCTATTTCCCTGTAGGGTTTGCAAGGCCGAAACTTGGTAATACTGAAATATCAGGTAAGTGCTGTTCTCCTGTAAAATATGCAAGGCCAAGGCAAGTTCTCTTCAAGTGCTTATTCCAGAAACCCATCATGCTTAATGATATATTATTGGTATAAGCACCTGTTCATTTTAAAGTAAATTACATACGTCATGCATGTATTAAGCAAGTGAGCATCTGAATACAGTTAAGATTGAAGAGGTTACCTTGCAAGCATTTTTATATTAGAAAAGCAGTTTTTGAAGAAACTTGAGTAGAAAAATCTACTTCAATATTCTGCTGGGGAGGCTTTGCTCTTGGTCAGCGTCCACCTGCATAGCAGTGAATTGTAAGCCCTGCCATCAGATGCTTACCTACAGCTGCTTCATTAACAGTCATTGTTATTGTGGCATTCGTATGCTCACAAGCTGTCTCAGTCTCCCCAGAGAAAAACATTGATGTCTGATTTGTGATGCATGTGCCTTAATGACAGAAAGAGTTTTAAAGGAAACTTAAGTTTTCTTGGACCATCTACTAACTACTTTGCATAAACACACACATGCATCCTCAAACAGTAACAACCTTGAATACCTGACCAACTTCACATTTGATATCTCAGAAAACAAGGCTGTGTTAGCTGAAGGCTAAAATACAGTTATCTCCACGTTGCAATCCAGTAAGCATTTTTGTTTCAGGATTTAGTTCCTAGAAGACTGGAGGAAATTTGTGGGTTTGAGTTAATCAATGTTAATAATCAAGCCTCTCTTCTTGCACACATTCTGTTAAGGTTTCTAATAATTGTCAGCAAACATCCCTTTTTCAGGGCAAACTCTCCTCAAAGAAAACCAGCAAAAGAGTTTGATCTAGTATAATTTGTTTAAAAAGTAAATTCAAGCTTTCAGAGAGATGCTTTATTGTGCCTTTTGCATAGACACCAAGGAGACCAAAATATCGGTGCCTTTTAAATTAAACTAAGAACATAAATTAACTCCTGCTTTGACTGTCACTACCATAGTGACAGTATACTATTATCAAATTCCAGTACAAACACAATCCAACAGCTGTACCTCACTTCTTATTCTAACAGAAGAAATACTATGCATCTGTCCTTGGAGTACTTCCCATGAAAAGTCTGCTTAACTCCTGGCAGGTAACAGAGCCTACCTACTAATGGCAAGGCAATTTTCAAAATGAACTAACTTCCTACATAAAACGCATTGGTTTTCCTTCTACTAGAAGCCTGAACATACTTAAACAATAACTTCTAGTGTCCCAATTTGTCAAATTTCAATATAATCAAGTAGAAGTATTGACAAATCTCTTCAATTAAATCAAAAGCTCAATAGCATTCAGCACTTTTTAACAGCATTATTTCCTCAGAGTGAGTGATCATCTGAGTTTTTCTGCTTTAAAATGTCTCACTGGAAGAAAGTGGGGGGTGGAGGGGAGCAACAATGGAGGGAAACAAGCAAGTAAACAAACCCCACCTGGAACTTGCAGTATATTCTCCATCTTCTTGTGGGTACTGGATACTGAAAACCAGACAAATTCAAAAAATCTCTTGATATAGCAATCACCTCTCGGCTCATCCTGCAGTTTAACTCCCTCCACACAATTCACAGCTTGAGGAAGGCTAGGCTGGATGGTGAGAACTTTTTACATGACTTCTCACCTGTTCAACTAGTGCACGCTCCTTGCCCTAGAATCTCTCCCCCATACATACCTTGAGTTTTCTTGGACCTAATCAAGCTTTTGGTTTTCTCTAGTAACAGTTACGATGCAATTCTAGCAATCGCTATTGGACCACTGGTAATCACTCTGGTGGTTTGCTTGATGTTAAACTCTTCAGCTTGCATTTAATGAAATACATTCATGAAAGGGGAAAGGTTTCTTGATGAGACTCAAAAAAAGTGAGGATGTTGCAATGAATTTCCCTCTCTTTCATACACACTACACAGATATCACAAATCTCTTCACTAAGTTTATTTTCCTCACAAAGAGTATCTGAATGTTCCTTAGAGACACTCTGCAACTGATAACTGCAAGAGTGAGATGAGGTATAAATGAAACATCGGCCCTCCATTAACATGTCATCTACATTCCAAAAAAAGTTCAAGATTTCAGCCTGAAGGTACTGCTATGGATGGATAATAGCATGAGATATGGTCATACATGTTTAATTCATAAACCTAGTAGCTAAAAATTATTCAACTGAACTGAAAGTGTGAAGAACTTCAATAGCGCTCAGAACAAAGTACAGATGCACTTGCAAAGCTGGTCAACGTTGTCACCGTAAATCTAAGTTCTGGAGAAAATTAAATCCATGTGAAAGCAGTGGGAAGCTCCCAAGGCATCAAGGGTAGTGCTTCTGTTTGCATGGGTCGCACTTTGGTTCTCTGCATCTCTTCACTCCTCCCTGCACTACAGGGTGCTCTTCAGACAGAAAAAGCACTACAAAATGAGGCCACTACGGCAACATCATGATAAACAGTACTGTGCAAGAAAATAAGCACTTATTCTGTAGCCAAAAATGTAAACTCATAGATGAGAGAAAGAAGTAAAGCAGAGCAGAGAAGCAAATGAGGAATTGAAGCGCCAAAGTCAGCAGGCAAGATGAGAAGTGAAGACAAGGCCTGTGAGAAAGGAGAAGAAAAAGCAGAAAGGAAGGAAAGGGAGATGGCAATCAGAGATCAGAATGTCATTTGAGAAAGGAATAAGTTCTTATTTCTGATATGTATTATCTACTATGGCAGTCTCTCACTGCAACATACCATCTTTCACTTCTTTCCTCATTTAAGTCAGGAAATGGGAAAAGAAGAACCTATAAAATTTGGGGCTTATTCTTCTTTCACCTGAGTATGTGCCAGCTGGAGTTAGCAGGTAACAAGCGAAGAATCAAATCAGAATCATGCTTAACAATCTCCAGTGACCCCACAAGTAACACCTGCAGGATGTGGATTGTACAGAACAATTTCAGATCTCAGTCAGTCTACTTCCCCTCCTCCTTTCTGCTCCTCAGAAACAAAACTGACAGGCAGTGGAAAAAGAGGCTAATTGGAACAAATGGCACAAGTTCCAAGCCGCAGTCAAGGTTTCTTCACTTTTCCAAACAGGCTGTTCACATCAGAGGTCAGAAACCAAAAGGATGGCAGGCAAAGAAATTGCAAAGGCAGACATGTAGTAGTAGGACCACTATATTGGATTGAAAGCATTTTGTGAAGGCTTTTGATGAAAAGCAGCAGATTCCAGTGTCATAGTCAGTTTTATACCATAACAGATGTGTGGTGCTGCCAACTAGCTGCATTTCTCCTCTGTGAGGCACCAGTTCCCATCTTCAGATTAAAAGGTTTCAGACTAGGAGCCCAGCTGACAGAGACAAGCGTGACACCATGAATCAGCTGTGGGTCCTCATTCCAGCCATCTGAAGGAATATGGAAATCCTGGTATCATCTTCATGCATTGCAAGGCAAACAAACAAACGAACAAATAAAAACCACATCTACATTTTTTATTGTGCTTAGCCTTTAATTTATGAGTGAAAGAGCCTGCCACTTCACCATGGACAGGCTGCTCAGCCTCAGCTCATGATGCTGTTCATTTTCAATTAAAAGATGAACACTTCTAGAATCATAAAACTAAGTTAAAAGGGACCTTAAAGACCATCTAGTCCCAGCCTCCTGCCATGGGCAGAGATACTTTCCACTAGATCAGGTTGCTCCAAGCCTCATCCAACCTAGCCTTGAACAGCTCCAGGGATGGGTCACCCAGCTTCTCTGGGCAAACCTGTGCCAGAGCCTCATCACCCTCTGAGTAAAGAATTTCTTGCTGATACTTAACTTCAACCTTCCCTCTTTCAGCTTAGAGCCATTATCCATCATCCATGATAGGGCATACACTCCTTGACAAAGAGTCCCTCTCCATCTGTCCTGTAGGCCCCTTTAGACACTGGAAAGACGCAATGAGGTCTCCCCAGAGCCTTCTCTTTTCCAGACTAGATAAGCCTATCTCCTTCAGCCTTTCCTCACAGGAGAGGTGCTTCAGCCTTCTTTTGGGACTCCTCCAGACCCACTCCAACAGCTTCACATCTTTCTTGTGCTGGGAGCTCCAGACCTGGATACGGAATTACAGGTGAGGCCTCATAAGGGCAGAGTAGAGAGGGACAATCTTCTCCCTTGCCCTGTTGATCACCCTTCTTTTGATGCTGTCCAGAATGCAGATGGCTGCAGGTACACACTGATTGGTCATACCTGTTCCTGGGACTGACCCGAACTAGGTACCTAATAGGCACCAAATACAAAACCTAGGACTTTGTATTTGGCCCTGCTGAACTCCATGAGATTCACACAGAGCTACTCTCTATCCTCTCCAGGTCCCTCAGGATGATATCCAGTCCCTCTTGTGTGCTGATTGCAGTTTGGTGTCTGATGATTTAAATGCTGGTCTGTCACCTCACGTCAATAAAGCCACATCTCAAAGAAGTCTACCTCAGTTTATTGATTCTTAAGTCATAAGACACCAAACAATGCTTCAACTTATGAGAGGGCTTATAGATGGGAAGGAGACTGACTTGTTACACAGAAGTCTTAGTGACAGGATGAGAGGGAATGATTTTAAACTAAAAGAGGGGAAGATTTAGATTAGATATTAGGGGAAGTTTTTTTACATGGAGAGGTGGTGAGGCACTGGCACAAGTTGTTCAGAGGAATTGTGGATGCCCCGTCCCTGGAGGTATTCAAGGCCAGGTTGGATGGGGCCCAAGGCAACCTGGACTGGTGGGTGGCAACTTTGTCCATTGCAAGAGGGGCTGCGACCAGATGGTCTTCAAGGTGTCTTTCCAAACCAAACCCTTCCGTGATTCTATGATCCAATCTTTGAAACATGTGAGGAGCACTGCGTGTACAAACAACACAAACAAATGTGTTACTAACTCATGGCAGTGAAGCACATGCACAAGTATTAATGGGAACAGGTTTGAGTTTGTCCTTAAAGTTTTAGGAAACTGAGAATAACAGGAAACTGCCTCCCTTATCATTTCCACACAAATGCAGAAATATAACAGTGTATTTTCAACATGTAAAATAATGACTACAAATTCTCACAGAAGTGTGTCTTTTTCAAAATTGATGTCCAGTTTAAGCAATGGATGTTTTGACATGAGTCGTGTCACACAAAGGCTGAAGAATTGGACCTCCCACTTCCTCAGCTAAAGGAGATTATTCACTGCTAAGCTGCTTTGCAAATAAACCACCAGTGCACCTGCTGCCGGTTCCTGTTCAACGGCAATACTTCTGAGTAGCATCTTTTTATACTGGTGGAAAAGATAAAGCTTCAGCATAGGCTTCCTCCTATTCATTCTGCATTCACTGAGTCTTCAGTTGCAATACTGAAAAGGCCACAGACTAAATTAAAACCTTGTTCTTCTTCCCAGCTGTTTTCTTGCTATGGTCCAGATTTCAAGACAATATCCTAGCTCCCTGGAAAGAACACTGACCTCAAGTGCTTCAGAAAGCACAAAGAGTGAACTTTGATACTAGATTCTCCCCCACATCGCCTCCCCAGCACCGCTCTGTGAGCTGCTTGATACTAGAGCAAGGAGCAGATGGGGAACCTGAACCCTTTAGGACCAGAACAAGCAGCTAACTCACAGATTCATGCTGACCTTTCCTTTGGAAGCACTGGCTCTGCCTCATCATTCCTGACATATGAGGACACAATTCCTGGGAAAAAAAAATTCTGAAGTTAACTGGACTATTTATTCAAGGATATTTGAGAAATCCTGTTTTACCATCATAGTCATAAGATTTCATGGCTTGATTTTAGGGCTTCATCCAAAGACTGTTGAAGGGAGCAGCTGCCGTGGGTTTTGACTTGTATCTAGGCTAGGACTACAAAACATAAAACAGAATTCCTTTGCTGTTGTTAATCTTTATGAAGACTAAGACAGATGATCTGTCTATAGGGCTTTTAATGGTGCAGACTGCCTGAAGAAGTTGCCAATTACCAAACCATGTGCCCAAGTAACTACAAAGTCGTTTATACCAAAAACAGACTAAAAGACTCATGTAATTATGATTAAATTTCTGTGCTGCCTTCTGTGCTATTATGGATGCTTTTGTTAGGCACGATCCTTTTTATTTTTAATTAAAAACAAAAAGTCTGTCTCTTGGGGGTCCTATTTATATTTTCACTTCTAACTTAAGTACAAACACACCAGAAAAATTATAGCCACAGTCAAATAAAAATAGCTGAAGAACTTGCAGCTGTTGATAATTTCCCAAGTATTCAACATTGCTCATTTAATGATGGAACAGCACGCTCCAGTCTCAGACCTTGCGCAATGCTACACAAACAGGAGGCAGTTATTTGAGTTGGTGTGATTGCCAAAGGCGAGTAAACTGTTAAAGCAGCCAGAGAAGGGGCAAGAGAACAACACAATGTAGACCACTGGGTATCCACACAAAACATTTCTCCCTGCTTATTCTTTCTCATTTGAAACCATTAGTCAGTTCAGTTGGTCAGATCAAGCTCAGAGTACAGCTGGAAAAAAAAAAAAAGTACTCAATACAAATTCACAATTTGGAAAAAAACAAAAACTATCCGCAGTTGCTAAGTATTTTCTCAAACTTATCTGCTTGCAATTGAGACCAAGCAAATTAGCAGACAGTTGATGCTTATAAATTCACAACACTCAAGGGTACCAATGAAATACAAAAGAAAATCTAAGACTTGGGTACAAAACTAAAATTCAAAGGCTCAGAAACAACAAAAAAATCAGGAAACTTCCTTATAATTGGAAATTCGGACCTTCTTCTGTTAGGCTCCATTTGCCTCATTCATATGCGTAAGGGCACAGTTAGAGGTCATAAAGTCAGAGCATTCAGCGGGTTATATTTAAGGGAAAAAAAACTTATCTTGTTAAGGGCCCATTGCAACAGCAAAATCTGAAGCATGACAACCAAGGAACAGTTTCAAAGAGAGGGGAAAGTTAAAAGAGTTGAAAGTCAAAGTTGACGGTAGTTTCCCTAAAGAGAAGGAAACAAAATCACCAAATGGATTTTGTTCAGCTTTTGTATTTCATATTAGAGATACTAATAAAGTAACCTGTGCCACAAAGCACCTGTAGAAATAGCTATAACAAAAAACAAGGAAAACAGAAAATATCCTCACAAACAGACAATCCCAAATCACAGCAACACTCCTGCATGTCCTCCCTGTAGGAAGAGGCTTACCCAGTAGCAACCTGAGCCTCTTCCTGGGCACTGATTTAAAGCTCTTGGTTACTTCCAAAAGGAGTTCAAATTTTGGATAGCAGGTGCGGGCTCCTCCAGGGTAAATACCCAAGAACTATGTCTATTTTCGAAATAAATTTTTGCCCGGTGGCAGTCTTTGTTTCCCCGCGGGCATTCCAGCAAAGCCTTTAGTCTCCTCACTTGAGAGGTCATATTTAGGAAACTCGCCCCCAGAAAAGCACAGGAAATGTCTGAGTGCATTTTTCTCTCTTGTGGAAAGACACTGACAGGAAAAGACTGATGACTGGTCTGTTTCAAAGGTGTGTTCTGAGGAGTTGCAGCGTCGGCCAAGAGTGCTGGAGAAGCGGTGGCGGGGGGATCACACTAATCTGACAGTCGTGTTCTCAATCCAGCAAACGGCAACGATGACAACCAAGAAAACAAAGGAGGAAGAAGACAACTCCCTGGATTCCATCTCAGGTATCCTTTTGTGCCTGCTGGGCTTGCAGGTGCACTGTCCCAAGGTCATAAACAAGCAAGGTCTCAATAACAAGTTTGTGGAAAATAAGTTTCTATCAAAACTTTCTTGCAGGAAAGGTAATGTCAGGTTGTCAGCAAAGCAAGACTATCCCGTGAGAGAACAGGATCCAATACCTCCCTAATAACCTCCTCTGACTGGTTGTCATGGTGATGGCCTGGTTCTGCAAATGTTTGAGACAGACCAAGCACACCCCAGAAAGTCAGAAAGTAATTTTTATTGGACCTTCATAGGCACTGAGGACATGGTTTAGTGAGCATGGTGGTGATGGGTAGACAATTGGACTAAACGACCTTATTAATCTTTTCCAACCCTAATTATTCTATGATTATATGAAGGTAACGCATGGAAGGGATCAAAGAAGCCCCTGGTCATCAGAGAGCTCTAACAGCCCACTAAGTGCAGAGATTTTAGGATGAGGCCTTACCCAGTATGATACTGACATGCGCAGATCCTTCACATGCACACCGACAGCTTCTGCATCCATCTGAACTAGCCCATATGCCATCAGGGCACCCACAGCACACCTTGCAAATCTTTCTGCTGGAGTAAGCTCTTCACACTTCAATCCCAGTCCAGCCAATTGTGTTCAGAGAAGCTTCAAGGCTTGCAACTATGGTGTCACCCAGCTAAGCTAAGGGCCTACTATGTTCTCCTTCCACTAGGAGGAGAGAGAAAGAAAACTCTACACCATACAGCTGTTTTATCATGGCAAAGTGCAATTCTGCATGTTCATTCAAATTAAAAGAAAGGAAAGGAAGCATCATCAGGAAAAACTCTTAAAATCAGAAGTGGAATACGTTTGTGGGGCTAATGACTGACAACTGAAAGGCAAAGATCACTGAAATTAACAATTCTACAATGCACCAAGAGTCTAAGGAGGATTGACTGGAAATTCTTGTCCTATTTCAGAACAGCACTACAAAAAAAGAAGAAAATCTTGCCTCTTCAAAAAAAATAAAAATCAAGTAAAACAAAATAAAAAGCAAACTAGCATAGTAATAGCATTCTTCATAGGCTAGAAATACCTCCTTTAAACCACTGAACACATCAGGAGATAGGAAAGAAAAGGATGAGCATTCTTCAAAAGACCACAACTACAAAGGTGAGTAAAAAGAAACAAAGAGAGAAAACACAAGGAATCAGGATGCCAGACTGTGAACTCTAAGATTGTTGCAAAGAAGAGACCGCTGAACACAAGTGACACACAGAATAATATAAATTAAGGATATAAGCAATAGATGACTGGCAGATGTTGTATAAGGACAGCAAAACACAACGTTGCAAACAAACGAGACCTGGATGAGAGGGAAAGATGATGATGTGCTGTTCACTCAGCTCTGTAAGAACGAGGAGACAAAAGGGAAGACTACACTAATGCACTGACTGCTTTTCAAGGCTGTAGGAGAACAGGTAGAAGTCTCAATTGCATTCTTTGTGCCTAATGCACAACCAACTAAACTGGAACATACTGAATGATTAAAAAACAATTTTTTCTTCAATAAATTATCATTATTATTTTTTTTTTTTTTTTTGGGGGGGGGGGATAGTTTTACCCTTTACTACCTCCTCACCCTCCCCAATATCATCTGCATCTCTCCTCCAGCACCTGTCTTGTGCTAGCTGATACTCCACTTCTAAATTGCTCCAACTGAAGAGCTGTTTTGGGGAATGCTTGTACTCAGTGGACATCTTCAGACAGTCTGAAATGTAAAAGCTTTTCCTGGAAAGAAAAATCATGACATCTTTTAACTTTGCTTGCTGAATTTAAATTTTCAGCATGGAAGGAGAATGAAGGGAAGTGGGCATTAAACCTCTCAAAACCATAACCTGCCTTTGCAGCAGGCTTAGGCAAGGCCTAATCACAAGCCATGTAAAAAGAGTTTCAGCAAAGCTGAAGCCTCTAGACCTCCCTGATAAGAATTTTAACATTTGTAGGAAAGCACCCAGATACTACTACTACTACTCTGCTACTGCTACTCCATGCAGGCAGCATGTCTGAATTTGGAATCTGTGAGTACCAGCACATGAGCAGTGCTTTTGCTTCTTAAAGCAGATGGCATTGGTTTACATTAAATGAGGGTTAATTGGTAGTTTTACAGTTTCTGTGTACTTGAAATACACAATACATCAATTGTATAGGCACACTTAGCAAACATTAGGTAAATGGTGCATACCCAGGACTATTTTTGCTGTTGCCCTGGACTAAGGGCTGGGTGCCATGAGATAGGCACATTTCTTTTCCTCCTTCCATTTTATCAGCAAGGTAACTGGATGCCTGATGGGGATATGCATAACCTTCAAAGACAAGGCACTGTACCTGGCATGTGGGTATAACTGCACAAGGGCAGAGGAAAAGCAGAGGCCAGACCAGCTGCTCTCATGTATAAAATGCAAAATCTGCCAGGTCTCTGTGCATACAAGTTAACTGGAAAAGCTCCACAGGCTCCTGGGAAGTTGCCAGCTTTGCTGGAAACGTTGCAAAGGATACTTACAGAAGACAAAGAAAAAAAGAGAATATAAAACAAATTATTAGAAGGCACTGACTTCTCAGCCTCAAACAAAGAGCTCGCAGCAGCCAGCACGCATAAGAGCAGGTCTCTGCATTCACTGGCACTTATTCTTGGAGCCAATTCTCATTTTCATCACCTCTGTTTTTCTTTGTGTAGAGCCAGTAATGTTGTTTTGCTAATGGCTTATGCAGAAGTACTGGAGCCAGCAGCACACACACTGGTTGCTTTTATTAGTCTATTAAGATGAAATGAAGCTGGTGTTAAAGTTTTTATAAGCATTTAGGATATATCATTATTTGCTCAGGGCACAAAAGCAAGCAACAGCCTGTTATACAACTGTGCAGGCACTGAGCATCTCTCCCCAGGTCTAAGGAGGAATCCGGATGGACTGAAGGGAAAAAGAACAGAGGAAAAGTCAGTCCTCCTGAGTTTCTGCT